AAAAAAAAAAAAAAAAAAAAAAAAAAGACTGAGTCTACAGCCTGGAGTGCAGTGGATGATCTTGGCTCCCTGCAATCTCCACCGCCCGGGTTCATGCAATTCTCCTGCCTCAGACTCCCAGGTAGGTAGGATTGCAGGCATCCGCCACCACGCCCAGCTAATTTTTGTATTTTTAGTAGAGACAGGGTTTCACTATGTTGGTCAGGCTGGTCTTGAACTCCTGACCTCAGGTGATCTGCCCACCTCAGCCTCCCAAAGTGCTGGGATTACAGGTGTTAGCCTCCGCACCTGGCTAGATTTCAGGAATTAAAATGCCTTCTACTCAAAATAATTTTAATGCCACCGTGGCATATTCTAAACCCCTTCAAGCTCAGGAAACGTGAGGGCTGCAACCTCCACCGATTCCTCCATGCTGTGTCCCTGCATCTAACAACGTGCCTGCCAGTACTATTAAAAGATGTGACATCCATCGTGTGTACAGGTGTCTATTTTAGGTGTCAGCCGCCCAGGCTCTCCTAACTTTGCTTATAATAACAGCAGCGCCATCGCCTGGCATTTATTAACTTTTACTACACCCTGGGCACTTACCGAGGTCTGTAGATTTTTGAGCTCCTTCTTATTTAGGTCAGAGCTAGTAGCTGTTTCCACTGTAGAATCTTCAGGAACAGGTGGAGCCCCTGCTGGATCCTGACATCAATGGCATCGACCCTATACAACCGGCTTTTGTTCAACTGAGCACACCTGACCACCCTAGAAATTTGAACCAGGAGAGGGAAATGCATCCACTTGCTCCGGCTGCAAAATGCAGAACCAAGAAGAAATGAGAAGCCTAAGATGTTTCTGAAAAGAAAAGGGGGCGGTGGGGCGGGAAAGAGAAGGTTTCCAGAGGCTTTCACAACCTGAACGCCTCACTAAAAACATGGCAGTCACCTGCTGGCTGTCACTGTCTCCAGGCGGGTTAGGCTTTGTGTCTCAGCGTTTTGTGCCCAGCCTAGAACGGTGCTGGGCAAGCAGTAGTGGCTCTCCATACTCATCTGTGGAATGCATTCATTCCAGACCTGGATTTTCAGCTCTAAGGCTTCCCCGCCAGGGGGCCCAGAGAACACCAGGCCGTGACATCTGGGAGCACCTGTCTTCACTGGGCGGTTCCTCCAGGCAAGACGCAGCCTCAGGAAACGTGGGGGGTGGGAGCTGGTGATGTGCATCGGTTTGGATGTCCTGAGTGCCCCCCCAAAAACGACAAATGTTAAAGGCCTAACCAATGGCATTCTAAAACAGACCCTTCAGGTGGCATCGGGCACGGGGTCTCTGCGTGAAGAGCCACGACCTCAGCGCGCGTTGGGTTCCTCCCGCTCTCCCCAGCAGGCTGCCTTCGACAACCTCTGGGCCGAGTCCAAATGATTCCGCAATTCGCTCCTGCATACACGCCGGTTACGGTACCAGAAAGGAGCATTTGTAAAAATAGTTGCGAAAGGAGTTCATGGGAGAAAAAGAAGATTCCCGGCTGGCCCGTACGGGGATCGAACCCGCGACCTTGGCGTTATTAGCACCACGCTCTAACCAACTGAGCTAACCGGCCGCCTGATGGGGCGGTGCCACTAGAATTCTTAGGAGGGCTCCAGCCCGCGCCCGCCGTGAGCCACTCCTTGCCGAGCGCGCGCCGCTGGCTGCCTTCCGCTTCGCCCCAGCGGTGAGTTTCCACCTCCTCCCAGTCATCCCCATTGGCCAGATGCAGAAACTGAGACCTAGGGGACTTCGAGAAGGGTGGTGACTTCCTTTCACAGGGAAAATCCAAATTGCAAGTGGGAGGTTTAGGTCTGCTGTGAGAAGCCTTTCAAACATTCCAACTCACTGCTGTTTTTTTATGTCCGAGAATCCTGCAGCCTGGAAACTTCGTGTATTAAGAGCCTTTAGCATGGTTAAATCAATTAAATCAAGCTTGGAAAATACAAAAAACCAGACAAAAGACAAAAGAACCATCGATTCCCTATCGGCCAATAAACAAGGGCCTCTGGGGTCCTGGCTTCCTTCCTGCCGATTATTTCCCCCCACTGTACACGAGTATTTAATACATATATGCATGGAATCTAAAGCCTTGTTTGAAGCAGTCTGTTTTTTCTCGTTTTGCATTTAACATTCCATTATAAGGAATAAACATAAACACTGAGGAATCATTTAAAATTATATTTAATGATTAAATGTCATTTTAAATGATTCCTCAGTGTTTCTTTTCTTTTTCTTTTTTTAAATAAAGAAAAGAGGTTTATTTGGCTCCTGGTTCTGTGGGCTGTACACCAGCATCTGCTTCTGGGAGGATCTCAGGAAGCTTCTAATCCCATCAACTTGAAGGGACTCATGACGGCAGCCGGGGCACATCCCCGGCGGAAGTGGACCTCAGTGTTTCATTGAATGGACCATACATAGATTTCTCTCCTTTTTCTTGCGGGGGAGGGGGTCTGAAAAAAATGTTTTTATTTTGCTCTCCTTAACTGAGCACATAAATAAATCACATGGTACAAGGTAGAAGGGTTGATACAGCCACTGGGTGGGCAACAATGGTACCCACCCCTAAAAGGATAGGATCTTTATGAGAGAGAGAGAGAGAGAGAGAGAAGACACCAGGAAGACAAACCATCACGGTGTCCACCACACAGCCTGCATGTCTCCTAAGGGGCCTGACTATGGTGTGCTGCTGTGGTCTTCCCACTCCAGGAACACCAACTTTTTTTTTTTTTTTTTCCCGCTCTAAGTGTAACTAGAGTTTATTTGGGCCAAGTTTGAGGACTGCAACCCAAGAGCATAGATTCACGCTGCCTGATTGTACACTCCTGGGACTGGGAATGTTTCAAAGGCTAGAAAACCAAGGGCAGCCCTGGCATGGGGGCTTTTAATGAGAATTTGCTGAATGAATGGAGGAGGCAAAGACGACCATTTGGGACAACCTTGTGTGTTGCTTCCTGAATCCAGAACTATCAATGTTTCAGAATCATGGGCAAAGCCCAAGGGCATTTGAGGAGTACAGACACAGGTGAAAGCAAGTCTGGAGGAAAACTACAGAAGAAAAGAAAGAAAGAGAGAAAGAAAGGGAGGGAGGGAAGGAGAGAGAAGGAGAGAGAAAGAAAGAAAAAGGAAAGAGGGAAGGGAAGGGGAAGGGAGGGAGAGAAGGGGGAAGAAGGAAGGAGGGAGGGAGGGCTGCCAAAGTAATGTTTGGCGGGGGCTAAGCCCTGTGGCCCTCACCTGCCGAGGGACGTAGTTGACGTTGATGAACTGTCCCGGCGTCCACACCCTCCAGTTCATCTTCAGGGCTGGCCAGAAGCCCCCCTCATCTTGGTGGCGAAGGCTGAGGCGTCTTTTCCCTCCAGAAAGTTCATGATGAGGAAGAACAACATGAGGAAGGCTGGTGTGAAGATGAGGCGGTCCAGGAGGAGCTTCGTGAGCCCTGCCAGGGGGACCTCGGGAGGAATCCAGTGTTCCATGAAGAGGTAGAAGAAGTGACTCAGTGGCCCTGTGAAGAAGAACCCATAAACAGCATATCTCAGAGGCCCACTGACATCTAGACTTCGAGAGTTTTCTTTTTTCCGCTTCTTCTCAATCATCTGGGCCAGAAAGTTCCCAAGTGCTGACAAAATGCCACTGGTGGCCGCCTTGGTGAGCACCGGGTAGAGCCGCAGGAGGAGCAGGTACTGGGCGAGCGCCCGCCGCGGGAGCGCCCCAAGCCCGGCTTCGGCCCGCAGCCTGGACGCCGCCGGCGCCATCGCCTCCACAGCGCCGCGCCGCCGGGGGCGCCGCCTCACCTCGGGCGGGGCGCGGGGCGCGGGGCGCGGGGCGCGGGGCGCGGGGCGCGGGGCGCGGGGCGCGGGGCGCGGGGCG